CAAATAAGCATGCTAATAAATAACATTCAGGCAACGACAATAAATTAATGTTACTATTCTAAATAGAAAACATAATTTTAAAGGAATAGTTCACCCCAAAATGAAAATGTACTCATCCTCAGGCCATCCGGGAACACATTTGGAGAAATTTAGCATTACATCACTTGCTCACCATTGGGTCCTCTGCAGTGAATGGGTGCCATCAGAATGAGAGTTCAAACAGCTGAAACCTCAAAATTATACTCCACAAGTAAACCACACGTTGCTTGCAGCTAAAATATGATTCCTTTATGATATTGCTTTCTCCAGTGAAAAAGTCATCTCATCTGAATCAGGAGAAAAATATGCACAGATCAAGTACTGTTTACAAGCAGAAACAGTCCAAAAGAGTTCTAAACAAATACAGTGGTGGATTTTTGACATGAGATGACAACAGGGGATGGACTTTTTCACTGGAGGAAGCATTTTTATTATTATGGACTGGTAATTTGGCCAGAAGTTGTGGTTTAAAGTTAAAAAATGCCTTAATGATGGATTTGTTTCTTACAAACATGCAAATATTTACTTCACAAGAAGTCGTCTGGATTACTTGTGGAATGCTGTGATGTTTTTATCAGTTGTTTGGACTCTCTTTCTGATGGCCCCCATTCACTGCAGAGGATCCATTTGTGAGCAAGTGATATAATGTTAAATTTCTCTAAATCTGTTCCAATGAAAAAACTAATCTTGGATAAATATAAATTTTCATTTTTGGGTGAAATATTCTTTTAATTAGGTTATGGGGTGATGTGCAGTATGCAAACGTACACCACAGCACATGATTGATCAGATTATCTGCGATCATACAGCATAAGAGGTTGCCAATATTGGCAACAGGGCAGGAATAACCCTAATATCCTCAGGCACTGCATCCATTCGCCTGCTGTCCCCGAATCTTCAGTTACCCAATATCCAGGCCAATTTGGACCACAATAAATCGACCCAATGAAGCTAAATGTGAGCAAAGCAGAACCATATGACACCGCTGGCCTCAGGGGCCGTAGCTGGTCTTGGGAAAAAATGCTCAAGACCACTCAAGAAAAATACACAAAACAATAACCGTGACAAATGCAATGTGCAATATTCCAGCTCAGTTGGTTTCCATCAACAGATCTATCTCTTTTCACAAGCACTCTGGGTTATGTTTGTTTGTTTAGCAGTGTAGTAGACACAGGCACAAAAACAGTGAGGACTAAACACATACTTCTGATGTTTTCCCCCCTCCACAGTGAGACTGCAGCACAGATTTCTTTCATGCAGACCTCAGATGACAGTGAAGATATGAAACACTCTGTAATGAAGTGCAAACACATATGTTGTGGCTGTGGTGAGGAAGGAAGAGTTTCACCAGTGATGCTAATTACAGAATGTAGTAAAAGAAAGTAAATGCAAACCTAACACTGCATGAATCAAATATCAAACATGCTGCCTTGTTAGTGTGCTGGTGTGAGTTGTGTGAGTGTGAGTTTTTAACTGATAGCTACTCTAATAGCTACTTCTATTATTATTATTATTATTATTATTATCAGGAAGGGTAATTCCATGATGAATCTTCAATAAAGAGCTTCATCTATATAGAGCAGATCTGACAAATGTATAAATATGACACTAAAAAGTGGAATGTAAAAGAAATTATGCGGTTTATGACACTTTTTATATGTTATATTTGCATTTGTCAGATCTAGTCTATTAAATCTATCTGTCTATTAAGTCTATTTATCCCCATAGAGATTTATCATGGACATGCAGTTCAAAGGGATGTTTTTACGCCATTTTTTAGCAGATCGTTTAATTCTGACGTACAGCACACTCACAAAGCATAGTTTTTTTCACATTTATGTCTAACAGAACAGTTGATTATTACTTAGCCATTTGAATGAGCATGTCTCAGTGCATTGAGAATGTAGTGAGTGCCCCCTAGTGGTCGGATTTGAAATCTGCACTGCATCTCCCCCTAGCAAGCCTCAGGCAAACTGTCATACAAACTCAAGAGTCAAAGGATAGCTATGGTAAAAACAATCACGTCTTCTGAAGCAACCAGTGATTTTTCGTCTAGTTATCTACCTTTGGAGTGTGCTGAAATAAATAGGCCTACGTACAATAACAAAGCTTGCACTGACAGTAGGCCTAAACAAAGAGCTAAAGAATGTGTATAAAACTGGAAATCTGAGTTTTCTACAGAAATGTTGGCCTTCAAACAGTAAATAATAGTACTAAAATGGCATGATGTTGGTTAACACAAAATCATATCGTTTTTGTAAGAAAAAAAGTTTACAGTGAGGCACTTACGTTTTTGGAGGATTTGAAACAGTAAAGTTAATGTAAATATTATAATTTTATACTTCCATTAATTCTTCTGCTAGAACCTGTTTGTTATGTGAGCTACACAGTTGTTGGCGTTACGCTGTTATGGCAACAAAGGTAGGATACTTGGCGATTTGTCCACATTAAAATGATGCTAAACGCATATCCCTGCTGAAAACAAAACAAAAAACAATAGAGACCATCACAGAAATTCCAATGGTTTTCACTACAAATACCATTAACTTTTAACCATTAAAACCATTAAAAATGTTTTTCTGTAGTGTGTTTTGGAACATATTCCATTAGGATTTATTAACAAGCCACTAATAGAAGGCGACCAGTTACCAGTAGAAACCTACAAGCACCATTACAGTTTCCATTAAAACCAATACAAGTCCCGTTATAACCAGTAAAACCATTACAAATTATGTGATGGTTTCTATTGTTTTTTTCAGCAGGGATGGTTTACATGTTGTGGCAATACAGTATTTTAACATTAACAGCTTGACGCCATTCCCTTCCACTGTAAATGCCTGACTGTTACCAAATACAAGTTCAAATCTATTTTTGTGGTAATCAGCATTATGCCACATGTTGTAGTTTGAGCCTAACTTGAATTGAACACGGAATATTCCTTTAATGTTCCATGTATTTAGCATATCACATCTAGAGCAATCTCAAACTAATGTGATGCATTTGAATGCAAGCAAATTAGCATTGTGAGAATAATTCAAGTGTGGTTAGACTGTAGAAACAAGGTTTTGTGTGCATATCCACATACATGTTCAGATGTAGGCATTGTGTGTGCGTTTATCAGAAGGCCTTCAATCCCATCTGGCAGTATTAATGCCTCTTGACTGTAGCTGTTGCCGATAGTCTGGGTCATGCCAAAGCTCACAGGGCAGTAATTAAAACGAGGCAGATAATTTGAGTTTTTTGTTGTTGTTGTTGTTGTTACAGATAATAACAGAACCCATCTGTTGCTCCAGAAATCGCCCACACACATGCACTCTCGTACTGGTTTGTTTTCCACAGGAAGATTCAAATCAAGAGTCTTGAGACCGGTTTGGCATTAACTGATGAATCTGAGGAGAAGACTACATAGATGAAAAGAGAAATCAAACAAAACACGGCCAACGGCAACAGAACGTTATCCGTCACGCTCACACATCAAAATGTTTCTCTTTGTGCCTTGAATTATAAATGCCTCATCATTGATTGTTGGGACTTAATGTCTGTGCCACAGGAGTTGTGGATCACAATTTAATATGCAGGTCAGCTGCTACCATCGTTTTACGATTCTTGAGGATTTTTATAGCCCAAGGATTCTGGGAAACTCAGCCCCGCTCAGCCTGTAAAATATATCACCATATAAATGTGATGTCCCTGAGAGCAGTTACAAGAAAAGAGATTTACAATAGCTAATAATTTATCATTTCAAGTTCATATTAAATACATTAAATATTAAAATACAAAATAGATGTATTAAATGAGAATGTAAATAAATGTATTCAAATATTTAAAATGTATTCATTTGTAAGTCGCTTTGGATAAAAGCGTCTTCTAAACGACTAAATGTAAATGTATTATGTATTCAGCAGACAAATGTGTTCCAGCATGTTCCATGATATGATACATTATGTATAGACTATACATTATACATAATATATATGTATAATAGCTATCAATTCATACTGTCAAATTCAAGGTTAATTATGAATACATATAGTATTAAAATATAAATGTATTAAATGTATTTAAATATGAATAAATGCTTTAAAACGAATCGTAATATAAAATAAGTGTAAATATATTGGCATGTGAATGTGATATTAGTGTTTCACTTTACAAGATTTACAATAAATATCAATTCACATTGCCAAGTTAAAGGTTAAATAAAACATTAAATGTTTATATATATAAGTGTATTGAATTTATTTAAATGTTAATAAATGCTCTAAAACAAATATAAATATTTCTGCATGTAAATGTGATGTTCCTGTTTCAAGTTCTTCTGTTCAAGAAAATATCTTTACGATAACTATCAATTCATAATGCAACGTTCAAGATAAAATACATCAAATATGAATTTGAAAATATGAATAATTGTCCAATTATTAAAATCTATTAAAATAAATGTAAACGTAAAACAAATCAATTAAAAATAATGGAAATGTATTGCTGTATAAATGTGATATTCCTGTGTGATGTTAGGTTTACAATTATTTGACTGATAATAATGATAATTTTTCAATAATTATCAACTAATGTAAATGTATTAACCAATATATATATATATATATATATATATATATATATATATATATATATATATATTTATTTATTTATATATATATATTTATTTATTTATTTATTTATTTATTAGAACATTTATGACTGGCTAGCTGTCTGGAGAAAATTGTGATATACACTGAACCTGCATTTTGTGCTCATTATGCTCTGTACCATGACTTCAAATAATAGGTTAAGGGTGTTTTCTTTCTGCCATTTCTAAGATATGTAGATGGTCATCAGCTTTAATATTTAGTTATATATATATATTTATTTATATATATTTATTTATACACTCACATAATACATTGCTCTATAAATTACAACAATTATCAATTCATAATTTTATTTTCTAAGATCTCTCTTTTTTATTATTAATTCTGGAAAAGGAAAAAGACATATTTAAAACTAAAAACATTAGAATAATGCATAAAAGGATAGAACAGTAACACCCCGATGACTCTTGCTCCCGATCCATTAAGATAAAAAAACTGATTCTCAAACCTCAAGATTAAGCTTCTCAAACAATGTTATACAGTACATACATCTGATAGTTTTAAAAAGACTTTTCTATAACTTACTTTCTTTAAACAAGAAAAAAAAAACTATCTTAATAAGAGCTGAATCTGAATGTGTTGGGATGGAGCCTCTGGGTAACTCCAGCCCCACCCCAAACCAACGTCCTCCCCTCTTGTATGCACACACAGAGCATCCTCACATCCAGTCTGCTGGCTCCAAGTCGGTATTGCTTCGGCCCTCCAAACACTTGTGTCTTACAGGAGGTAAACACGCACCAACAGTCCACACAAAAACTTCCCCTCTGCGGCATTAACAACAGGCTGTATTGTGTGAGACCTGGCTCTGTCTGAACAGCCAAAGTCCACCGCCTCCTCCTTCAATCAACATCTGAGCGCTGACAAATGGCAGTGGGCGGCCATTGCAACTCCAACAGCTGCCATCTTTGGTTAGAATGGAGAATGAAGAAGCCCCTTTGTGTCCAACCACAGAGCACATACTTAAATACATGATGAAACATGGAATCAGATTTGCTGGAATTAGGTTTCAGATATTATGTACAAACCAGTGTTTTCTGAATACAGAATCACTGTGCTTTGTGCATTAATGAGAGTCAGTTTAACCAGAGCACATACTAACAGACCAAGTGGAGTGGATGGATAAATGTTAACCAGAAAAAAAAAGACAAACAGAATATCTAGAGATTAAATCAGATGTCTAATCAACTCTGGAGCCATAAAATCAGAATACTCATCTAGCAAAGACCTACCCAGACAAGATATTGAAATGAATCAAATTAAACAAATTGTTGTGGAATCCAGAATGACTGTGCAGCCCAAAGTGTTAAAAGGGCAAGAATGAATCACGGCAGACAGAGGAAGCGATGTCTTATCTCATTGAAAAGGCATGGTAGTCTTTGATGCATCGGAAAACAACAAAGGGTTGCAGGGTTCGGCCCTTTAATTTCATTGAGACCATTCAATCGAGATCTATAGCAGCAAGTTCCCTTGATAATTCACAGTTGAAAAGCTTAGTTTGAAAGAAAGACACTGAATTCACCGCTAGTGTTTTTCAAAGCTGTTACAATCTTCCTAATACACCTGATAACTTTAAGAGTCATAGTTGCATCCAGATCATATCAGACGAACTCCCTTTGAAGACGAGCAGCTTGACTAGAGATGGCAAAAATAGGTTTTAAATGACCTCACTGTTGTGTCTTTAAACCTACCCACAGCTCAGAACATTACTTAGATGGATTAAACCATGTGCCACTAACTAGCAATTTGGCGTTGAATGAAAAAGGGAAATCCTTTATTATCATTAAAAGGAGTCTTTAAATTATGTGCTTTTTTTTTTTTTAAAGATTTGCTTAAACATAACAATCACCAAAGAGACAGTAAATATGCATGCTTATAGCTTGAGCTCCATTTCAAATGCCAACAATAGAGGAATAACATTCCCGTGATAGAAACATACTTGACGTTAGGCTGAAAATGAGAAAAACTGGTTGCGAGTTGTGTCTCTTTGCCACAGGGTTCAGAAGTGCTTTCTGTTTTTACCTCTGACTGCTACCTGCGTTGTATGCATTATTTGTTCTTACACAATTAAACCATTTATTAACCCAAAACCCATTCAAAAGGTTAAACTACTTGTGTGCTACACCGAAGATCTGGCTTTAGGAAAGTCCCGACAAGATAATGAAACCTTGGTCTTTCTACTGGCCCAACAGTTCAGAAACATGATGTATGGATCTGGACGTGAATGTACTCCGTATCATGTCATCCCAAGTGTGGCGGTTTCACTGAAATATGATGATGAGCGAGCAGCCCTCCCAGTTTCTTTCACCTCAGGGTGCTATGGACACTCTCACATGCTGAGAAGAAAGGAAAGAGACAGCAAAGAGGGAAAAAAAAGACTGATAATGCTGGGAACAAAAGCCAACGTCCCAGGATTGGCGCTTTCCCTGCCTGGAGCGGTGTAGATCATTAGGTGTCATCTAATCCCAAGCTCAGCTTTTACATAAAGGCAAAAACTCATTGGAAGGGAATAGAGGTCAGCATCGGACGGACCCACACACACAGTCCAGAGCAAGCCAAATGGTTAAACGAATGAATGAAGATGCAGAGGTGGGCATCATTGCACCAGTGTAGGATGCTTCAAAACTTAATCCTGAAATCCTCCACATTAACAACCGTTTTTTTCCATCCTGCAGGGTCAGCAAGGCTAGGAAATTTGCCAGGCTCAGAGAATGAGCTATTTTAGGGTGCCTGATGAGAAGTGGGAAGTGAAGATTTCACAGGCTGAGGCATCATGGGAGCAGGTCAGAGATGTGAACCGCTCAACTGACAAATGAATGCTCAGATATTGACAAACACCATCAGGTTGGAGGTACAGGACAGCATCTGGCTTCTTTCCTTTGGACTGAAACCGGTAGAGGAATTCGTCCATCCATTCTTGCTCCAGAGAAATTCCACTTCCATCCCCCAGAGTTCCCATGCGCACACATACGTACACACATGCACAAGGAGATGACAAACAAAGGGAGAAAAAAAGAAAACACTTAGGAAAACAAATCGGACCAGCGGAGCATGTGTCAAGCTGCTCAAACAATAACGTTGTCCATACAAACTGGCAGCCTTCAATAAGTTACTGACGCATCCATCTCACTCTCGCTCAGACTGGGAGATGGTGGGATGACAAGAGGGAGACGGAGGAGAGCTTAGGCGTGTTGTGCGGCCAATTCCTGCCCGATGAAACGACGCAGGCGTTCCAGGTATTGGCTGTACAGTTCGATGTCGTTGTGTCCGGCTCCTTCCACCCACAGCGGCTCCACGGCTTTGGGGCAGCGCTCGTACAGGGCCAGCCCATGGGAAAAATCGATCACCTCGTCCTCTGTCCCATGGATGATCAACACTGGAGACGTGATTTTAGATACTTTCTCAATGCTGAAACAGAAACACACAAATGAACACAGGGTTTTAGAAGAAACACGACTTCCCCAATAAACAGAAAAAAATTACTGAATTAAAGGGGTCATATGATGCGATTTAAATTTTTCCTTTCTCTTTGGAGTGTTACAAGCTCTTGGTGCATAAAGAAGATCTGTAAAGTTGCTAAATACTAAAGTCTCAAATCCAAAGAGATATTCTTTATAAAAGTTACGAGTCAGCCACGCCTACCTAAAACGGCTCGTTCTAACACGCCCCCACATATCTACGTCACGATGTGGAAAGATTTGCATAACGCTGCACAAATGTTCACGCAAAGAAAGAAGGCGTAACTTTTATTCTTGCTGGAGTATTGTTGTTGCCGCCGCCATGTCGTGAAGGCGCTGTGTGTTTTGTTGTGAAAGCGAAACTACTTTGTTTGG